GCTTTGTAAAATTGTACATCAACGTAGAAGGTTCTAGCGTTAAGTAATAGACGCTTCTGTGCAATGACAAAAATAAATAGCTTATTACGTGCCGTTTTAGTAAGAACTCAATCATTTTAACGCGAAGCCAGACGCATCTTTGAGGTATATACAAATCCGAACCAAGTTCGAAGCTCACGTATCCCGTCATTCCCTTGCATCCAGCAGCTCACTTTCCAGATTTCCTCTAGCCAGATTTCCCTCTAGGCATTGTTGTGAGAAACTCCATGTATACCTAGCATGCGAAGTTTCGGAAAATTTCGTGGAGGCAATGTCGCGAAAAAAAAAATGCATTTTGAAATGTTGGACTTTGCGCGCGAAAAGTTTGGCGCGAAATTTAAAAGCTAAATTTCAACCTTGATTCTATCCGTTAATAATGAACTTACGAATGTGAAACACAACGCATTAGGGTACTCAGAGCTCAGTTTGGCAACCTAACCAAGTTATTGTTCCTCCTTATTGTCCTTTTTAAAACTGATTCTCCCCCCCCCCCCCCTCCACCGTGACCACCACTTTAAACATGTTTATAATTCGCGCTCAACTCAGCGATTCTAGCACACAGACAAAAAGCTAAACAATGAAGCGAACGACAGAGATAACACACGCGTAATGTTTTTTAGGGGCGCTTCGTTCCACTTAAGTCGTATACCAACAGCTTTGCTGGAAAAAGCCGTGCGCCGCTGAGGTCGCCGTTATCTCGACCGATAAAACGAAACGTCCCGTGCCCGCTAAGCACTGCTACAGGCAGCGGACGGAGGTAGGTCAAAGCACGCGCACTACTTAGAAGAGTGTCCTTTTTTTTGCCTTACTCGTCTTCGCATTGCCCATTTTTGTCACATAGTTGTTGTTTTTTTTTTTCGTCACATGCTTCACTGTCTATATGTGTACGCGCTCTGTGCGATAGACTCAGTCGGAAGGTGGCGCTCGTTTTCTTGTCCCTTTGTCGTCGTTCTAAGCTCGCGATATAACAATCGTCACGCGCACTACGCTATAGAGGTGTTATGTATCTGTTTGCGACGCTGTATTGTATTTGCTTATTATGTGTGTTCTAGAGAAGTTGCCACAGGAGGCAGTCTTTCTTTCTTTACTTCTTCCTTTCTTTCTTTGCTGTGATAATTATTATTATTATTATTATTATTATTATTATTATTATTATTATTATTATTATTATTATTATTATTATTATTATTATTATTATTATTATTGTCGTTGTCGTTGTCGTTGTTGTTGTTGTTGTTGCTGTTGTTTCTATGGCATCGCGCAATCCATGCTAGCTGTTTCCTTTGTCCACGGCGGGAACAAAACCTTCATATGTTCCTGGCGGCGCAGCATTTTAGTCACCCCGGGCAACAAACGCGGTCATGGGCTCGTATCCCGGCATCAGCGAAATGTGGCAACGTGAAATGACAAAGATCGTCGTATCAGAAACGGCTTATCACCGACAAGCCCTACGATCGAGGACGCTTTCGGATATTTTGCAAAACGTAGCGTGCAAATGCACGTGTGAGCCGGCGCCGGCTTAGGCCTGGCTTAACTTCACCACAGAAGTGTGCGACTCGTATCGAGCATCGTTTGGATAAGCAATATCGTCCTAGCGCAGAGGGGCAGACCAGACAGACAGACAGAAAGACGGACAGACAGACAGACAGACAGACAGACAGACAGACAGACAGACAGACAGAAAGACGGACAGACAGACGGATGGACGGACAGACAGACGGACAGACGGACGGACGGACGGACAGACAGACGGATGGACGGACAGACAGACAGACAGACAGACAGACAGACAGACTCATCCTTCGCTGTTCCGAAAGATTCTTTCTACTCCCGCCGAGCGCGCAAAACGTCCCGGAAGACTCTGAGCGTGGCGCCACCGTCGAGATCCGGTACGAACCGGTGCCAGGTGAGACAGGGTCAACGTCACTCCCGCTACCTTAGCACCGTCGGGCCGCGGTGTAAGGAAGAGCCGTGCTAGGACATGAGAACGGCAGAAATAGGCGACAAAGGCCGCCAGATGGCGGTGGGCGAGCCTTGATTCCGACAACCAGTAATGCCAACTTGATGGTACAAACTGCGCAGAAAGAGGGCTAAGGGTCTCCTGGTTCCTTGTGTAATTAATTGCCCAAGATCTCTTCAAGGCGAAAGCCCATCCTCTTTTTTCCCTCTAAGTCTATATGTTTATTCATCCCCTGAGTAATATTAAAGCGACACTAAATAGCAAAACGAATTTTCGCGTATTACTAAATTACTATTACACAATCCAGAAAACCACCATTTCTACGGCATTTCTTGGTAAGTGGGAAAACGCGTGAAAAAAAAAAAAAAAACGCGGGCGGAGGCGCCACTTAAGGATTCCCGCACGAAAGATCGTGACGTCATGGATTTTGAAGGCGCCTACTGTGCCCTACGTACCATTTAATCGATAAAAAGTAAAGTGCATTGTCATATGTGGGTGCCATATATGCCTACGTAGAGTTTCTCGCAAATACCTAGAGGGAAGTGTGGCGCCACCGTCTATGCGAATTTTTAAGAGGCGATGTTGGAGCGCTGGGAACGACGGTATATGTGTCTGCGAGGCTTGTGTTGGCTGGTGTTCAGCGAGGCTTCGGCTCAAAAGCGAATACAAGTGCGGAAATGAAGTTTTACTAAAACAAAACGTTAATAGGCGGATGTCATTCACGCGTATTGTATTCTAAAATAAAAGTCCATTTACCTTGATGCCACAACCAAACGGCGAAAGAAACAGACGGCATAAAAGTGGCGGAGGAAACGCTTGCTTCTTGTCTGCCTGCCAAGTTTAGTGACCGTTGGTTACGTATTACGCTTCGTAAAATTGTACATCAACGTAGAAGCTTTTAGCGTTAAACAAAAGACGCTACTGTGCAATAAAAAAATATATAGCTTACTACGTGCTCTTTTAGTAAGAAATCAATCATTTTAACGGGAAGCCAGACGCTTCTTCAAGGCATAGAGTGTCCTAAAATTAACCAGAGGGGACTCTGGCGCTGCGATCGTTCAGCGACCATGGGAATGATTGGGTAGTACACACATTCGCCAAGCCTTCGTACTTGCGGGCGGCGAATCGTACTTGCGGCTTCGTTTATTGCTGTGTTTCGGTTTTGTTTTCAAAGAAAGATTGAACCCTTTTGAATTTCGTGACCGATTTGTAAAGGTAAGTTTAAAATAATAGGATGGTAAAGCGCAACTGCTGAACATTTGCTAATATTTGTTTTGTAGGAAAACAGTTCCAAGCCACACGAACACAAACGAAGCCAAAAGCAGGCCAGATATATGAATATTAGACAAATGTGTGTACTACCCATCATTCCTATGCTCGCTGAAGCGCCGTGCGTTGCAGCTTCCATAGACACTAGCGCCAGAGTTCTCTATAGTGTATATTAGGAAACACTATGATTCAAGGTATACAAATTCTAGTCAAGTACGAAGCTCTCGTATCCCGTCATTCCCTTGCATCCCGCAGCTCACTAGCGCCAGATTTCTCTCTAGGTTTGATTGTGAGAAACCCTATGTATACCTGGCATACGAAGTTTTGGAACATTTCATCGAGCCAATGTCACGGAAAAAAAATGCATTTTGAAAATTTTTTACTTCTCGCACGAAAGTTTTGGCGTGAAATTTAAAAGCTTAACTTCAACCTTGATTTTATCCGTTAATAATGAACTTACCGAATGTGAAACATATCGCATTAGGGTACTCAGGGCGCAGTTTGTCAAACTAACCAAGTCATTGTTCCTCCTTATTGTCCTTTTTAAAACTGATTCTCCTCCCCCCCCCCCCCCCCCCCCCCCACCCTGACTACCATTTTAAACATGTGTATAATTCGCGCTCAACTCAGCGATTCTAGCACACAGACAAAAAGCTAAACAATGAAGCAAACGACAGAGATAACACACGCGTAATGTTTTTTAGGGGCGCTTCGTTCCACTTAAGTCGTATACCAACAGCTTTGCTGGAAAAAGCCGTGCGCCGCTGAGGTCGCCGTATCTCGACCGATAAAACGTCCCGTGCCCGCTAAGCACTGCTACAGGCAGCGGACGGAGGTAGGTCAAAGCACGCGCACTACTTAGAAGAGTGTCTTTTTTTTTTTTTTTTGCCTTACTCGTCTTTGCATTGCCCATTTTTGTCACATAATTGTTTTTTTTTCGTCACATGCTTCACTGCCTATATGTTTACGCGCTTTGTACGATAAACTAAGTTGGTAGGTAGCGCTCGTTTTCTTGTCCCTTTGTCGTCGTTCTAAGCTCGCGATATAACAATAGTCACCCGCACTACGCTATAGAGATGTTATGTATCTGTTTGCGGCGCTGTATTGTATTTGCTTATTATGTATGTTGTAGAGCAGCTGCCACAGGAGCCAGTTCTTTCTTTCTTTCTTTCTTTTTTTCTTTCTTTCTTTCTTTCTTTCTTTCTTTCTTTCTTTCTTTGCTGTGATTTGTTGTTGTTGTCGTTGTTGTTGTTGTCGTTGTTGTTGTTGTTGTTGTTGTTGTTGTTGTTGTTGTTGTTGTTGTTGTTGTTGTTGTTGTTGTTGTTGTTTCTATGGCATCGCGCAATCCATGCTAACTGTTTCCTCCATCCGCTGCGGGAACAAAACCTTCATATGTTCCTGGCGGCGCAGCATTTTAGTCACCCCGGGCAACAAACGCGGTCATGTGCTCGTATCCCGACATCAACGAAATGTGGCAACGTGAAACGACAAAGATCACATCGCCATATCAGAAACGGCTTATCACCGACAAGCCCCTACGACCGAGCACGCTTTCGGATATTTTGCGAAACGTAGCGTGCAAATACACGTGTGAGCCGGCGCCGGCTTAGGCCTGCCTTAACGCCGCCACCGAAGTGTGCGACTCGTATCGAGCATCGTTTGGATAAGCAATATCGTCCTAGCGCCGAAGGACAGACGCAGAAGGAGAGGAGGAGCGCGCTCTCCTCCTCGCCCCGCTGGCGTTATATGCACGTTCGTGCGCGTTGCGACATTTCCCGCCAAGCGGCGTAAGAAATGTCTACTGAAAGGAAGTATACGTACACAGCTGCACGTGTCAAGGCTATCGGTGGTCAAAGACCCGTTACGTCACCAGTTGTCGCGCCCCACAGCTGGTGTCGCTGTCTTCTGCGATGAACTAACAAGGCGAACACGCCAGCTGCGTTCGGATGGTCACTCAGTCGCGTAGGGCACACACACACACAAAAAGAGGTCAGTGTTACATCGCACAGCCGTTGTACGGAGATACAATGTTTGTGTTCGTGCGCGGATTGTGACACTGTGTGCTAACTGGACATTCCCCCGGCAGGATCGCTTCAAAAACGCCCCTTTCCGATCGCCGAGAGCTTACCGAAAACGAGTGAGTTCGTTTGCATATTTATTGTTAACTGTATTAACACTTAAGCCATGTAAGAATCTTGACGCGCCCTGACGTGGCTTTCTATTTGTTGAAGTCGTTCTTAGTGTCACGGTCTAGTGAAACAGACAGACAGTGAAGCCAAGGAAAGTGTACATGGGGCATTATTTGTAGTCCTTAGGGAGTTTTAGACCGCGAGTCCTTGCGGTGCGGTCGCTGCCACTACGCATGCGTCGTAACGCGAGTCGCCGGTCGTGATCGCGGCCCGCCCGCTGAAAATCCGATATAGCGGCTGCGTGTGCGGCCCGCAAGCGCTGCTTTCGAGGCTGTATGGTGTCGCTGTGATTGTGCGTTGTGGTGTGCAGGAGGGCAAACGCTATTTTAAAACTCGTATGTGGCGCCCGCTATGTCGGCGACGTCCGCAGCGCCTGCAAACGTTATTCTAAAACTCCCTCTTAACATGTAACGTGGTGATTTTTGTGACATAAACGTAAAGAAATTAAAATAAACGAAACGATAACTTGGCGCAAGTAGGTCAAACGGTCTTTATCAATGCCCTTTCCTAGGTGTCATAGTTATTAGATTTTCTAGGCATACGTGCGTGCGACGGATGGGGCGAAGGTTTAGTGCATGCCCCCTATCGCCCCCGATATTCCGAGCCTCCTCAAGAAGCCCTTACACTCAGAACACAGTGAAAACGAGTTTTTAGGAGGGTGGGAGCGTTCTCCCCCCCCCCCCCTTTTTTTTTCTGTGCGCATGCCTATGATTTCACGAGTCAGAACGACGATATGATTGAGGCACGCCGTATTGAAGTGCCCCCGAATCACTGTGACTATCTCTATGGTTCTTTAACAGCGTTCACCTAAATCTAAGTGTACGGATGAAACGACAGACACATCGTTTCTCTTTTTTAGTCTCACTCCAGTTTCATCCATGTGCAAACCACCATGGTTCTTCCTCAGGGCCATTGCCATGGTTACCGGAAACTCGGAACGCGGTCGCGACCCCGCCGCCGGGCGGGTCAACTACGAGGTCGACCCGGTCGTGGTGGACGGAGTGACCTTCCTGCCATTCACCGGACGTCCGGATGGCGCGCGAGGCCCTGAGCTACGAGCCGCGCCCGGGTGACGTCATTCTGGCCACGTTTCCCAAGAGCGGCACCACGTGGTGTCAGTACCTCGTCTGGGGCATCCACAACCTGCAAGCCGTGGAGGGAGGGCGCATGCCGCCGGTGCAGGACTTGCTGACAAAGCACTTTCCCTACATCGACCTGGTGAGGCTTCTGGCGACCTGCGCTGCTATCTTAAATGGTGTGCTTATCTGGGCACTGTCCGATTACGCCTTATTATCGCATTTTAACAGCCGAGCTCTATCAAGTGCTAAATAGCCCCGCCTATCTCGTGTCACACACGTCATGTGACTAAAGGGGATTGGATCGATACATAAGCGCCCTGGCCGGAGGCACGAATAAGCCTACTTTGTGGCTGGCTTAATTAAATCCCACGCCTATAGTTTGGTAAAAAGGCCACCAGCGCCCCCCCCCCCCTTCACTCTGAAAGTCTCGTGAAATATCGACACCGCCTCGCGCACAATAGAGGCAATAACACGCTAAAATTGTCAAGGTTATCCCACTCTTCAATTTTACGCTTTGAATATTACCCTAAACACTGATATTCAGTTATAAAAGCTCTATGCTCCTTCGTATACGTTGAAAACATTTCTAAGTTCCCTCGGCAGAAGATCAAGCAGATGACCGTACGTGGCGCATACTGCCGAGGCACTCGTCTTTCGCCTAATGGTCGTTCGATACCTGTCGCTCTCTCATGACGCTGCGTTCCGTTCTATCACAGAGCGAGCACAGGATTGTGCCCCTGAAGCAATTAGTGCTTGGCCAACTTACATAGGTAAGCACAGGAATAGGTAAAGCGAAATGGCGGTGATGCTGCAAACGATGACGATGGTAAAGTTCGATATGATGATGACGGTAGATAACAATGAAGACCAGGATGCTCCATATATTGTCGTTAAATGGTGATGATGACCTTCGATGATGAGGATGCTCCAGATAATGGTGTTAAATGGTGACCGTGATGCTTGAGATGATGATGACGTTAAATGGTGGTGGGGGGGGGGGGAGCTGTTACGAAGCGCGCCTCCAACGACGTTGCGAAGGGCGCCACGAATCTCGCCGCTGACTCCACTGTTCAAAAGACGGCGACGCCAAGACGGTCCCGAAGGCGCCACTGCTTCGAACTCGGCCGGGAAGGTCACCAGCCGTTTGGTAGCGTAGGTTTCTCAGCTCGGGACGGCTTCTGCGCAGAGCTGATAGACGAGCGGACGAGACGACGGTGAGTTAAACAAGGTTTATGTACAGCATATATACAGAGGCGTTACAAATTCGGCACTGGGGCCGACAGCTTAGAGACTCGAAGAACCGAGCTCTCTTCTCTGACACATAGGTCTACTGCTCGCGACCCGCCACAGGGCTTTTTTTTATATGCACCGGGAGGATTCTTTGAGTAACCAAATGTCCAACCAGAAGCGCCGCTGGCCGTGAGGTCAGAATCCTCCAATGGGGTCGCCGCTGGGCCGCGTCATTCTCATCGAATCCGGAGCCGCTGCGCGTGGTTGCAGCCAAGGACGAGTGACGTCGCCGCGCATTGCGTCAGACTCGCCAGACAGGAAGGCGCCGTTTGCTTCGACGGGCTCGTGGGCTGAGGGAGCTCGATGTGCGTTGCCGGACAGATCGGCGCCGCCGCGTGATGACGCCGTGGAGTTTTTCGCGTCAGGCGGGCTCGCGTGCTGGCCTTGACGCAGATTGCCTTTTTCAGAGGCATGGACGTTCTGCTGTGGACTCTCAGGCATAACAGAGCGTCCCTCGATGTAGTATGGCAGAAAAGTGCCCCTTTTGCACCGCCATACGGACACCCTTTAACCACACCCTCTTTAACTAACTTTGAACTAATCACGTTCGCAGCTGGGCACGTCATCGACGCTGGCCGACCGTCCTCCTCCGCGCTTCATCAAGACCCACCTGCCGGCCGAAGTGCTGCACCGGCCGAGCGGCGCCAAGTACGTGGTGTGCCTGCGCAACCCGTTCGACGTGGCGGTCTCTTTCTTCCACATGCGCTACGGCCGACGTCACCTGACGCACCTGCCGCCGGATTACGGCTTCGACCACTTCCTTGACGAACTGCTCAGCGCCGGGATGGTCGGGGGCAACCCGTTCCAGCACGCCCGCGCCTGGTACGACCGCAGCAAGGGCCACGACGATGTCCTTGTCGTCTACTACGAGGTCCTGAAAAAAGAGCCCCGAAAGGTGTGTGGTATTTTCGTGGGAGGATCCAGAAGGAGGTTCCGGATGTCCAGGCATCTGCGCTTATTTTAAAGGGGCCATGACAACGATAAATAATAAACTGTGTTATGTGGACTGTTGCTTTTGCGTTCACAGACAAGCTGGCGAAGTTTCAACCCATTTGGTGGAGCATTTACTTTATATTTTTAATATTTTTGCGTAGACGGGAGCAGTCTTGAACTATCACTGGTGCGCTCGCGAGCCGTGACGTAGCAAGCTGCTTGCTGTACAAGCACCTGAACTCCGGTGAACCATTGTGCCCAGTGACCAGCGACGCCTGTAATTGAGCCATCGCAGCTTTCTTCAGCTTCACATCGAAATTGAACGGTTTGCAGTGGCTGTGACTCTGAAGACCGCTGACCTCGGCTACTCTCCGTGCGGCAAATGACGTCACACAAGCCACGGAAAAATGGCGGTCGCTGGCGGTGGGTGGGGTTTCTATCCAGTGACTTTATAAGCCTACTTTACTCTTAAAATTTTCTTCAGTTTCTTTTTCTTGTATGTATAAGCGCATAATTTGGCATTTAATTACTTTTATTTTTAGCTGTGAACCGTGGTTCGTTTAATGACCATGTCATGGCCCTTTTGTAAGTATAAGTTCAACATGAGTGTTTACGTTCAATTCTGTGCCTTGTCAGCAAAAAAGTGGCTTGTTATAACATATTTGTGAAGGAAAGCTTTCTTTAGTGCGCATAATGCTTGAAGGCTGAAACGATCTTTCAGTCTAGAACTTTTTTTTCGAGTTTTAAACCTTTTCAGTTTGGTCGGCGTTTCTTGTTTTCGTTTTTTCATCATGCCTTTTCCCCGACCAACTGATTTATCATAAAACCATTGACATCACCATAACTAGAAGCTTTCCTCGTCAGGTACCTTCTGCCAACCACACCAAGCAGCCACCTTGTTGCGTAATATTTAGGATCTTCGAGCATTCTGCGCCCTAAAAAAGGTTTTCTTGTCAATTGAAAATCAGACTTTTCGGAAGCGGGACTATTATAGGCTATGATGCGTGTGGGTCAACAGGCCTTTGATCGCTTTGTGCGCCCAGTGATGGGGATGCATGGTTTTTCATCTTTGCTTTGCCTTTATCATTTTTATTCTGTTTTTTTACGTTTTTTTTTTTTTTCCTTTTTGTTAATGGACAATGCAGGTATACGTAGCGTTGTTGTGGCAAATAAACCCTGTTGAAGGAAAGAAAGAGCAGGAGCGAAAGGAAAGGCAAGGCAGGGATGTCGATACCAATGGAGAAGAACTGCTATGCTTTACCTCATGCACTGGAAAGAGATGTGGGTAACGGGAATAGAGATAAAAAAAAACAGGTACAGGCAAAGTAACGCCCCTCACAGTCAAGATAACGCCATTAATATGTAACCGCCGGAGCAAGTCTGATGTCTTCAAGAATATGTGCAAGTCAGCGCTGTTTGTGTTTTTCTGTTACTGGTCTTCCGTCTTTCGTACTGTCTTTATTTCGAATATGTCGATGATGGAGCTATGCAACATCGTCCGCTTAGGTACGTTTGAAGTAGACGTTAAACAATCCCAGTGTTATAGAACTCCTTTTTTAGTCGCCCACTGAACCATACGCTTCGCAGTGACAATAATCGTTCGTGTTTAACGTCCCAGAGCCACGATACGATTATGAGACCTTTTTTTCCCACCTCCTGGGAAGCCCTTACCGTGCACCTAAAATCTAACCAACGGCCCTCGCGTATCTCCGCCTTCTTCGAAAATGAAACCGCTACGGCCGTGATTCGATCCCGCGACCTTCGGGCCAGTAGTCGAGTATCTTAACCTTAGACCACCGTGGCGGGTCATGAGCCTCGTCAATCGCGTCGTAATTCTGATGCCTAAAACGCAACACTTCTTTTTTTTTTTCATGGCAGGTCGTCCTAGAACTCGCCAAGTTCCTTAACGCCGACGCCGCCGCGAGGCTTGAGACCGAACGGGGCCTCCTGGAGCGACTCCTGGAGCAGACGTCGATCGAGAGGCTCCGGGAGCTGACCGGCGGCGCGGAGAACTTCGCCGAGGGCGACTTCTCGCGTCAGCACCCGACGGCGGCGTTGTTTCGCAAGGGCGTCGTCGGGGACTGGCGATCCCTCTTCGACCGGGACCAGGAACGCCGGTTCCGGGAGGCCTACGACGTGGCGCTAGCGGGCACCGAGATGCACGACTTGTGGGCCGAGTACGTCGCGCCGTCGACGTGATCTAGTGTGTGAGACTTCGTAGAAGGCCACTGAGCATAAAGCGCATAAGTGCACCTAACCGTGCTTTTGGGTACATCGTCAGGGTAGGAACAAATAGATTTGGACGTAGGACCGGGGTCGTCAGACCTGTCTGTCGTTCTGTCACCGTCCTATGTCTAGCTCTGTTTCTTCCCACCTAACCGTGCTTTTGGGTGCATCGTCAGGGTAGGAACAAATAGATTTGGACGTAGGACCGGGGTCGTCAGACCTGTCTGTCGTTCTGTCACCGTCCTATGTCTAGCTCTGTTTCTTCCCACCTAACCGCGCTTTCGGGTACTTCATTAGGGTAGGAACAAATAGAGTTGGACATGGGACCGGGGTCGTCAGACCTGTCTGTCGTTCTGTCACCGTCTTATGTCTAGCTCTGTTTCTTCCCACCTAACCGTGCTTTTGGGTACATCATTAGGGTAGGAACAAATAGAGTTGGACGTGGGACCGGGTTGACGTGAGACCTGTCTGTCGTTCTGTCACCGTCCTATGTCTAGCTCTGTTTCTTCCCGTCTGAGGTCCGCGGTGGTGGCGTAGCTGCTCGGCTGCTGACCCGCAGGTCACTGGTTCGATCTCAGCCGTGGCGGTCAAGAAGGTTAAAGTAAGTTTTGAACCTCCTTGGTGGCGGTCGCATTTTCTTGGAGGCGAAACGCTGGGGGGCCCATTTAATGTGCGCTTTTAGTGTGCGTCAAAGAACACCAGATTCGTGACGAAAGGGGCTAGTTGGTTCATGTTGGTTTGGCAATGCGCTTACGGTGTAGGTAATCGCTACGAAAGACACGGCAGACTGGTCAACAGAACGAGTGCTCGTCCTGGTAAACTCTGTCATGTGTACTTTATAGTCTGCCCATCCTAGCGTCTACACATACGCTGTAAGAGGCCCTCAAGGACATATATGTTGCCGATTGTTCACTAACTACTTCGGCCACTCACATGAGTCACAAGGGAGCAAAAATGAGAAACTTTAGACGGGCTGATAGCCATGGAGGGGGTCCAATATGAACACGATCCCCAGTGAAGACCAAATTATTAATGGCATGATAAGGAACCTTAGTGACAAAAGTCATTGAAGGGCGCACAAAAGAACCCAATGAGCCTGATTAGCTCAAAGGGTAGGTCCCTGCAGAATGGAAAGCGGCCAAAATTATAACCATTCCAAAACCCGGAAAGAAGAAGCCTTCCCTGCACGTGCTCAGGCCTATATCACTTACCTCATTCTCGGGGAAGCGTTTCGAAAGGTTCTCACTCACCTTGGCTATTCGGTCATTCCAGCGACGGAGGCGGCGCCATGCGGATTTCCTCCGAACCTGGCACACGGTGATAAGTCTGTGACGCAGTTTGGTCTCGCGGTACTCATAAGCGCTGATTCGTTTTCATTCAAACATCTGTGCGTCTCTTTAGCGAGAGAAAGTGTGGTCTGCACCGAAACTAGAGGGCCTGACGAGCTTTGCTGCCTCAGACACGCGCCTCAGCGCCGTCTCGTCCGCCATTTTGACCTACAGTCGCGCCGCCTATAGTCGTTGGAATGATCGAATGGAACCGCAGTAGCAAAATTTAGTCCCGCGAGGGCCAAGACGGGAAAGAAGGCTAACATTGCGCCAGGTAAGCATTTTTAACTCAGCTTTTCACATGTCTCATACATGGTGGTCGTTTCTGAAGGAGACTATAGGCGTCGGGTTTTGATAAATATGAGCACCTATCTTTATAATGACCTAAATAAGGACTCAGATTTTGAAACACAGAGTTGTCGTTACATGATTATGTTTGAACAAGCGGTTACCTCAAAGGGCGCTCCACTAAAAAAAGAGAAAGATAAAAGGTGGTCGAGTTGAGCGATGTTTGTGCAGCTTACCCGTACATTGTTACTAACCGCAATAAGGGAAACAATAATGTATGAACCATTTAGCGAAGTTAGACATTTTTTTTTTCATTGTGAAGCACAAAAATACTGCTTCAGTTTCAAATACGTTTGCTTAAACAAGCCATTGGCGTTTTCTTCCTAGCTCATTTCTCATGTATTAATCTCATGTATTAATCAAGAAAAATACAAAACAAAGCACTACGGGTTTAATACCGTCATGCACGGATCGGGCCACTGGCAAGAGGTCCGCGGGACACGTGTTTGGGGCGGGAAGGGTTCAAATTCCTCCAAAATATTTACCATTCGGCTTGCGTGTATATACACGCACACATGCAAACGCACGCCCCCAACACGAAAGGTAAAGTTTACTCCTCCCCCTTCCCCACCCCCTCCGCCCCCTACAATTTCTCGCTGCGCACTGGTATAAGCCGGCTTGCACAGGAAAGCCGTCTTCTACTTATCAATGGATTGCATTAATACCCCGCCTACTTCCTCAGTGTTTCACACACTAAACGCGGTTGTGAACTGCCTCCGAGATTAAAGGCATTGGAAGCTTTATTCATTTCACCGTGGTTTTAGCAGTTCCTCCAGGATCGGCCCCCTTTCGACCAAGCGATTGTGGTCATGTGAATACATCATCCATGCGAGGTCGATGTATGCGAACTTCGGCAACCTTTGCGAATCGTGACGTCATGACGTCACACATGACACTTGGGACGCATGTGTGACGATAGCGTGACGTCAGAATTCCTCATTGGGGGATGATAGTGTGACATCATCGGGTGCTGGTGCTTTATCGCATCGCACGTCCTGACGCCTATATGCGACGGTCAATTGTCGTGTTTGATGAAACGGCTAAAAGGGAATGCGGAAACTCAGCTTGAGTACGTTGATCTTGTTCTCCGATTGCACGCTCGGCAGCAGCGCGATAGCACTGCGCAAGGCATTCGTCGTGCGGTTTATTTATTCAAATTTCGCGGGCTTTTTGTTTTTTTCTGCAACGTAGAAAACGGGGCTCACTGAAAACATTACCGACTGTATAGGTGGTTTCCGAAAGGGCACAACTCCGCTGTCATACTTTGACTCTCCAACCGTCAATTAGAACAGTTGAGTAATTCAACATAACTACAGTGAGTTGTTCAATGCCCCGCCGTGGTGGTCTAGTGGCTAAGGTACTCGGCTGCTGACCCGCAGGTCGCGGGTTCGAATCCCGGCTGTGGCGGCTGCATTTCCGATGGAGGCGGAAATGTTGTACGCCCGTGTGCTCAGATTTGGGTGCACGTTAGAGGACCCCAGGTGGTCAAAATTTCCGGAGCCCTCCGTTACGGCGTCTCTCATAATCGTATGGTGGTTTTGGGAGGTTAAACCCCACATACCAACTAGTGAGTTGTTTAAAGGGAAAATGAGCAGTAGCTCGAGCGAGTAAGTGTACGCCACTGCGAATAGCGCTGCCGTCGTTTTCGCGCTTGAAATCCTGCAAATTATAAAGAGATTAGTGACTGCCGCTGTGATCTTAAAGTAAAACTACGTCCGTGAAGGTGTAAGAACATGTTTATGAGCATATACTCGGGATATATTGGCGCTCTTTCTTTTTCCGCGTTTGTTTTTTCCTCCATTAGGCTGGCGGGGCGAGTTCCTCTTGCACGATGGGCCTATATATATATACGGATAAAATGGAAATCAAACTAAGAAAATGACTGCGGAAAGTGCTGTCACGGACATGGCAGATATCGCGTATAGCACCTGCAGAGGGAAGCACACGAATTTCGCTCGTTGTGACGCGTAAGATCGTGCGTCATTGGCGCACCAATCGATGCGCCCATGGTTGACCCGTGAAAACGTTTATTTATCATACGTATACATGTATAGTGGCCTTGCACAGCAAGGGTAACATCACGCACTGGATCTGTTTGTAGTTTGTCCAGTGTTTTGGAAGTTGCGTACAATTGTTCCCGTTCGCTGGCACACGTGGCTGAACGCTCGGTAAAAAAAAAGCACACTGACTTTGTACAGATAACTAAATTGGCGCTATCATAAACACACAGCAAGCAGAGATCCTTGACATTCTTTCTCGCTTGATAACTGCGAGAACGTTCTCAGAATTCGACCATGTTGAACAGCATATCTGACGTCTAACATCATACATGGGTGATTCGTCGATATAGAAAGAAAAGAAAGGCGTAAATCAAGCTCGATTAGTATGATCCATACGAAGCAGGTACAACTGTTTAAAAAGCAAACCCATAGACGCTATCCAAAATACTAACATTAAAGGCACTAATGAAACTTTTGAACCGTTGTCGCACTTGTTTCTCACACGCAAACACGTGTTTTGAGTGTTGCGGCAAGCATAGTTACCACTTCACCGAGAATGTTGCCAGCATTTAAAGTTCTGACCAAGAAAAGATGAAGCTTCGTGCCGTGGTGCAGCCTGTCTTAAGCAATGTCTATGCACGATTCTTGAATAAATCAACAGGAATGACCAGGAGTCCAGAGGCACGTGATATAAGACACGGCAAAAGTGTTTTTTTTTTTACCATCGTTGATATACAGTTCAATCTGCGAAAATCGAACTCCTCATATAACGTTTTTTTTTTCATATCGACTAGCCGTAAAATAACCATGCATTTTTATATGCACAATAGTTTATTATAGATTGAATTACCTATATGTGAAACGTTTTTTATTCAATTCCCTTCAGGTTAGATATATAACGGTTCGATAGTTTTCTGTTACAAGGCAAGATGAAATTAGTTTCTATTGTCAAACAAACGCAGCTCTGACTAAGGTAATGACGTCACGATGATCACTAGTATTGTGAAATTTCTTACAACCTAAACCCACACACGCACACACTCATCACTGCACAAGGGGAAAAAAAACTGGTCAGCCACCCAATATCTTGAAATGAAGACAATCGCAAAAGTATATACAGACTGGCGGGCCATATTTGGTACCGCCTGATTTGTGAATTCACTTACACTCCGTTGTGCCCCGCGATCATTGGGCACGAAAGAACTCCACTTGTCACAACATGACGTGACACAACACATTCGGCATGTCCGCTTATTTTGTCACTCGCAGTCCTGTCTCCCGGGTCGAACTGTGGATTCATTCTTGCGGATTGTTTTCGCGCTTGACAGTCGCCTGCTGGAACTGCGAAGTCCACAGCATCTCAGTAGAGGAAGTCTGCCCAAACTCCGAGAAGCTCCGTTCCAGGCCAGTTTCTCTTTCGTCATGTCCGCGAGCACGCGATGCTGCTGCTTCGAGAAGTACTCTCTGTAGCAGCCCAACCCTGCCCTTGAGGACCTCTTCCTCCAGGTCAGTCCTGCCGGCCACCGTCTCCTCGAGACCCGTGTCTCGTGCCACCTGAGTGAGCAGGTTCCGGTCAGTGCGAATGTCCAAGAAATCGGCTATGAGCTTGACGCTTCCCAGGGGGTCCTTTCTCATGGTCTCGTAGCAGAGCAGCAGGACCCTGGGATCGTCCTTGCGGTCGTACCAGGACAGAACGTGGTCGAAGTAGTCGCCGAAGGCGACTTCGCCCCGGGTGAAGCACTCGAAGAAGTCGGCAAACGTACCCTCGTAGCTCTTGCCCAGGTGGACGTAATTGGATGCGCACACGTCGAAAGGGTTTCTTAGCACGACCACGTGCCGGGCTTCGGGGCTGGCTGGACTGAAGGCGTACGGCAGGTGGTGCTTGACGAGTCGTGGCGCGCCCTCCTTGACGCAGACGGTGTCGGCGTCCACGACCTCGATGCAGGGGAACTCCTTGGTTAGGAGAGTGTGGAAGTCGGGCAAGGGCGAGCCCGGGTGCAGGAGCGACCAGATGATGTACTGGGCACGGGTCGAGCAGGACCGGGGGTAGGAGCCGACGAAGATGTCCCCGGGTAGGGGCTTGAACCAGAGGACCTTGCGGATCTTGTCTCGGTCGAACTCGTTCTGCTGCAGCAGCAGGCCCTGGACGTTGAAGAGGCCCACCTTCTTGTAGGAGACGTCGGAGCGGCGGCCCTCCGTGGGTACCGGCAAGTTTGAGTGCTCGTCGGCCCTGGAGTGTACAAATAAAATTTTTCAACAAATACCCCGGAAATGCCTACTTGGTTCGTCGTCTGGCTTGGAAATTCAGGTGTCTGTGTTAACAATTGCTATATACATGTTCACATATGACACAAATAACGCTCAGTGGTGTACGCACGCGGGCATTCACTATTTACGTCAACAATTTCTTCATTTGTCCATGGTATGTGAAGAAGCTTCCGTAGAGGAAAGCTTGTGAAACATATCGCCGAAAAAAATCTTTTATTCACTTTTTTAGCCAATTCATTTACGGTGGATATCCAGAATTTGCGATTTGCATAAAGGTGGTAAGATGTCAAAGCGCTTACACTTGGGACGAATTTGAGGAAGGACTTCGATTTCAAGATATGCGTTCTCTGCGTCTCATGAAGTGTAATGTTGTTCCACTTACTTTCTCTCTATAAAAAGTAAAGACGTTAAGATGAAAACAACGCAAACGGAAACACAGCGCATCTTTGCCACCAATGTGGCTGCACTTTCTCAAAACTGGTGCAAGTTCTACATTTTTCCGCTTTTAGTGGATAAGTTACGGGAAATCTCGGGAAATCTGCTGAATTGTAGCATTCACGCTAAATAAATCCACCAAATTTTTTCAAATATAGGTGCGCCTCATATAACTACGAAATCATCATCATCATCATCATCTGTCTGACTACGCCCACTGCTAAACAAAGGCCTCTCCCATAATCCGCCAGTTAACTCGGTCCTGTGCTTGCTGCTACCAATTTATACCCGCAAACTTCTAAATCTCATCTGCCCACCTAACCTTCTGTCTCCCCCGAACCCGCTTGCCTTCTCTGGGAATCAATTTAGTTGCCCTTAATGACCAGTGGTTATCCTGTCTACGCGCTACATGCCTGGCCCATGTCCATTTCCTCTTCTTGATTTCGACTTTGATATCCTTAACCGCCGTTTGTTCCCTAATCCACTCTGCTCTCTTCTTGTCTCTTAAGGTTACACCTACCATTTTCCATTGCTCGCTGTGTCGTCCTCAATTTAAGCCGAACCCTCTTTGTAAGTCTCCAGGTTTCTGCTCCGTAGCTAAGTACCGGAAAATGCAGCTGTTATATCCCCTATAAGATATATAACCACGAAATGGTTAACTTTTTTTTCTCTTAAGTTTGGCCAATCTCGTCCAAATTGGTCCATTGCGGTTCCAATGTATATATAATATTTATACTCCCCGCATCATGTGTGGCAAACTGGGTAGCTGAACGCTTTCTCTTAAATACCAAAGGCCCTCGCCCTTTAGTCGACAAGGATGAGGGTGGTAATGGCTGATAAACCGAATTGTTTCCCATTTGCCCTGTCGTGCATGAGCTTATTCCGTTTTAACCGTTTCAGCCCTGGATTTCTCAATTTGGCTGGAGGATATTTTTCTGCGTGTTTCCCAATGGTTATAACGTAAGATGACCACAAATGAAAAATTGAACCAGTTATATAATGTACGGACATAAATGGAGCGAAATTTAGTCATTAGGACTCAGTAGTTGTGCAATAGGAAAAAAAATGACTGCTTTATTCCTGCTACTTATGAAGGCAGACAAAATTTGAATCAACGTCGTATTTGGCAACGTTGAAGTCCTTGAAAAGATTTCGGGAAATTCGTTCCGAAAACAGCGCTTTGTTCCGAAAACAGCGCTTATACTCGCCTCCGCTTACTCGCCTGGGTGTTACCCATGACTTCGGTTAGAAGTCTTCTTCTTTTGGATTACAGCTCCGCAAAGGTGCCACAATGGTGGTGTCAATATCGATGGTAATCATTGAAGAAGTATTTCACCAAAAATCGGCAATGTCGGTCCGGTTTACAAGTTTCTACGGGCAATATTCCGCGATGGTGTCAATTAACACCGCCAGGGCTGAAAGGGTTTCACCCTTCTAGCAGTCAAAGGGAGTAAAAGAGTCATTTGACTCTTTCTTTTTTTCTTTCGATCCTGGCTTGCTTTGTATATGGCACCTCTTTCGAGAAAAACCTAAACTCTCTTCGAAGAGTCGTGGAATCCAAGAGAGAGGGAGAGTAAAAGAGTCGCTCTAAAGAGAGTCATGCACCTTGAAAGTGAGCACTCCCCGAAATGTCTCGCACCTTTAAACGCCTTCTTGTATTGTTCCCTAAGTCTAAGTGAATATAAACGATGTGACGGAAAGCGTTTTGTTTTTCAAAGCTCGTTGTTTCAACTGTTTTTGGGAATATAACCTATCGTATATGGCCATCTATAAATATTTACCCTGCTGTTCTGAAATCGCTAACTTCCCGTTTTTCCCTTCTTGCTTTGTTTTGTGTATTTATTTTTTGCAGCTGTTGCTAGAAGTATATAAATTAAACATTCCTGCCATGTTGCTACTTTGCGTTTCATGGGCAGGTGGGACTGCAGCCAAGCGTCAGTTGTGCAGCTTTTGCCATACCATACTCGCTGTTTATGCATGCACGTTGTGTAGGTGTCAAATTAAATTCAAGTTCTAACATACTTCTATTTTTTTAAGTGTAACTCCCTGTCGTCCTCGTCTACGTCTTGCAGAACGTTTCGGCAGCCTGTAAACGAATAGATAATGCATTATTCCGTGCTGTGTATCGTCTTATTAGATGCGGAGCAGCTCTTTGGCTAGACTGTGTAACGCAGTCTATGCGTCCGCATCGCGCTCCCCTGGCCGCAGGTGTTGGGGTGGTGCCAAGTAGGTCACGCCTTCCCCTCGCAGTGCGCGCGTGCGTTGACGTCACTGTCTCTCTAACCTGTCGCCGCGTGTCATCTCTCTCGCTTCACCCTCTCCATCGCTCGCAACGTTCGAGCGCACAATGAGCGAACGGGCTTTCTGCGACGAAATTTACAGGAAACCCAACGCGCCTCCCGTGCGTTTCAAACAAACGTTCACTCGAGTAAATGCTACATCGAGTTTCGCTTCAAACCGTTCTTCCAACACCCGCGTCAACGCCCGTTTTAACCGGGTCAACGCCGCGCGCACTGCTGCTGCTTCGCATTTCACCAGAGTTTACTTCGGGGAGATCGTCCATAATTTCTTCCATGATATACTCGTAGTGCATTAAACGGTTTATGTCATGTTTTATGCTATATTCTATGCCCTGTTTCGCGCTACATTGCACGATATGTCCGCACCGCATCGAACGGACAATGTAACATTCCATGTTCTGTTTCGTGCTATATTTCATGCTCAGGTCCCATCGTATCGAAAGGATCATATGACAATCCATGCTATCCTCCATGCGATGTATCACGCAGTATTCACCCCGCATTGAACAGATACTGTAATATTCAATGCTGTGCATTTTTAATGCTATTTTCGCACTGCATCAAACGGATAATGTAGTGTCCTATGCTGTATATTCCTTGATGTATACCATTCTGTATTATATGCTGTATTCCCAACATTTAGCGAGATTCACTAAACGGGAATAAGTGTTACAATGAGTAATAAAAAGAAACAGTCGCCCTTTGCCATCTTCAGTAAGGTTGTCGATCTTTGCGCCAGCACAAATGAAAGTGCAACAGAACAATTGAATATGCAAGTCGATTTTTATACTTACGGCATCTCTTTCGAAGTGACGCACCCAAAGAAAAAAGGCGACCTCGTGAAAAAGCTACTAGAAATAATATTCCGAGCGCCGATCCCGTAGGTGGTCAGTCAGTCGTCCCCACTCACGCAGAGGAGCCGCTCCAGTATCGCCAAGGCGCACGCACCAACCACCACAAGCTCTCGAAGTAATCGGCCACGGACCAGCGACGGAAGGCCGCCAGCGTAGAGCGGGGCCTGTGCGATTGGCTGCGGTTGCGAGAGAGGCAACTACCCCCCTCCCTCCTGCACCCCCACCTCCTTCAATGTCACCCAAACATCTCGAGACCAACAGCCTTGGCGACGGTGGCCCGCAAGAAGCGCACTCAATTTCCTCTTCTTCGCGATTCAGAAAGAAAGCAAGCGAGGAAGGAAGAGAGAGAAGCAAGAAACTGAATTAATCCCGTACGCGCAAAAACAACGAATTTGAGAGTCACATCGGACGTAAGCTACGGGGGAGCACGTGTCGTACCGGGCTCCGCGGGCTGCCAATACGCGTCCGGAGGGGACGGCCGCGGATAAGCACATTTTTTTTTCTTTCTTCTTTGCTTTGCTCTCTTTGCGCACTCGGCCACTTAACGCGCGTCGCAATCATTCCATGCTGGCGTGATGCCTGGCGCGGAGGCCGCTGCTCGAGGCGAGCGTGGATACGAGCGACAGCAACATGGCGGCTGTGTGGTCTGCTCGGCTCGCGTGTCCCACTGCAAAGGTCGTCCTTTTTTTTTTTTTTCGGCGGAAGGAGGGATGGAGAAATACCGTGTCTTATCTTCTCTCGACGTGGCGCCTCTCTAGAACGCTGTCCTCAGCGCTGACAAGGAGAGAGAGGAGAGAGAGAGAACGGAGCTGATATCTCTGCGCGAGCAAAGATAACACAGCGCTAGCCAGCACGCTGCATCGTCGAAGCACTATAGCGGTCTCCCGACGTCGTCTGCTCCCGGGCTGCTCGAAGAGCAGTCGACGTGATGGCTATGACGTCATCTGTGCTGGGAACGTTGCTTATGATATAATATTTGTTGGAAGGGGAAGGGGGGTCGCCGTAGGGGAAGACGCCGTAGTGGAGGGCTTCGAAATTGTCGACAATCCGGTGTTCTTTAGAGTGCACCGAAATCTAAGCAGACGGGCCTCTGTAGCATTTGGCCTCGACGGAAATGCGGCCAGGATTCGTTCCCGCGACGTTGGATAAGTAATCAAAACCCATAATCATTAGACATTGCAGACCTGCTGTATTGAATACGGCCGACATAGTATCTTCCTATGGGAGAGCCGACAAACGAAGTGTAGCCCCCCTTTCTCACCCCTTTAGTGCAAACAGTCAAAACACAATACATCAATCACTTTTTCATCCCAAAGAAAAAAGGCTTCTCTGGAGCCCACCCGCACCTCCAAATTAAGCTATCCAGGCATTGCCTCTGTTACCATAGCTAGCATGCCAAAATCATCGCTCGGGTTTTTTGCTCAGCTGGTCTCACTCGAGCACAAATCGATAAAGCTGCGGCAAAAAGGGCGTTGTAAAAACTTGACAATCGGTGTAGACGTCACAACGAATTACGCTCCCTCATTTTCTTGATGTCACGAGGAGGTAGGCAACTTTTTCCTTGATCATTATCATCATCAACGACGAGTTGACTGGCCTGTTAGGCCAGTCAACTCGGTCCTGTGCGTGCTGCTGTCACTTTATACCCGCAAACTTCCTAATCTCATCTGCCCACCTAACTTTCTGCACGTCCCCTCTCACCCGCTTGCCTTCTCTGGGAATCCAATTAGTTGCCCTTAATGACCAGTGGTTATCCTGTATACGCGCTGCATGACCGGCCTATGTCCATTTCTTCTTAATTTTAACTATGATATCGTTAACCCAGGTTTGTTCTCTAATACGCTCTACTCTCTTCTTGTCTCTTAAGGTTACACCTTTAATTTTCCTTTCCACCGCTTGCTGCGTCGTCCTTAATTTAAGCTGAACCCTTTTTGTAAACCTCCAGGTTTCCGCTCCGTAGGTGAGTACCGGCAAGATGCAGCGTTTATGTACCTTCCTCTTGAGTGACGGTGGCAATCTACCTGTCATGATTTGAAAATGCTTGCCTAATGAGATCCATCCCATTTTTATTCCTCTTGCTACTTGAATCTGGCGGTTCGGCTACACAGTTACTACCGGAGTATATGTGCTCTTTTACAACTTCAAGTGCACTGCTACCTATCTGGAAGCGCTGTTCTCTCCCGAGGGAGGTATTTGTACATTACTTTCGTTTTCTTGAGATTAATCTTATGACCTACCTTTCTGCTTTCCCTGTCTAATTCAGTAATCATGAATTGCAGTTCGTCCCCTGAGTTACTCAGCAATGCAATGTAATCGGCGAAGCGCAGGTTACTAAGCTACTCTCCATTAACTCTAATCCCTAACTTTTCACATTCTAGGCATCTGAAAATCTCCTGTAAGCACGCGATAAATAGCATTGGGGAGATCGTCAGCAATGCAATGTAATCGGCGAAGCGCAGGTTACTAAGCTACTCTCCATTAACTCTAATCCCTAACTTTTCACATTCTAGGCATCTGAAAATCTCCTGTAAGCACGCGATAAATAGCATTGGGGAGATCGTAACCATTTGTCTTACATCCTTGTTTATTGATATTATGTCGCTTTCTTCATGGAACACTATGGAGGCAGTTGATCCTCAGTAGATTTCTTCAAGGATGTTTATATATGCTTCATCGACACCCTGATTTCGCAGGGTCTGTATGACTGCTGATATATCTGCTGAATCAAATGCCACATCGTAATTTATGAAGGCTAAGTATAGTGATTGGGTGTACTCTGAGCATTTCTCCATCACCTGATTGATAGCAGAAATGTGGTCGATTGTTGAGTATCCTGTATGAAATCCTGTTTTATACTTTTGTTGATTGAATTCTACTGTCTTATTTCCGGTAGCAATTAACCTTGTAATTAAATTGTGTACGACGGAGGGCAAGCTGATTGGCCTGTAATTCTTCATGTCCTTGTCATCTGCTTTCTTATGTATTAAGATGATGTTAGCATTCTTCCAAGACTCTGGTATTCTTCCCGTCAGGAGACACCTCGTAAACAGGGCGGCTAGTTTTTTCTAACACAAAGTGTCCTCTGTTTTTCAGTAGATCTGATGTTACCGGATTCACACCAGCAGCTTTGCCTCTTCGCATTCCCTAACGCTTTCCTGACTTCTGTCATTACTGGTAGGATGTCATTCAGGTTACCGCTAGTTCGTACATAATGGTCGCGGTTGTCCCGGCTTCTATACAAATCTATATAAAACTCCTCCGCTATTTTAACTATTCTATAAATATTGGTACTCAATTTGCCTTCCTTGTCCCTTAGTGCATACATCTGGTTTTTGCCTGTGCGAAGTTTCCGCTTCACCGCTTTGACGCTTCCTCCATTCTCAAGAGCATGTTCAATTTTGTTCCGTGTTATACATTCTTGCATCGGATACCTTATGCTTATTAATCAACTTCGAAAGTTCTGCCTGTTCTATTTTGTCTGTTGTGTTTGAGGCATTCATGCTCTAACGTTTCTTAATGGGGTTTTTCGTCTCTTGTAACAGATTGCTAGTGTCCTGTTTAGCTACCGTACCTCCAACTTCTGCTGCACACTTTGTAATGATACACGTGAGATTATCATTCATTGCGTCAACGCTAAAGGCGATTTCCTCGATAAGAGCCGAGTATCTGTTCTGAAGCGACGCTCTGAATTCCTGTACTTTCCCTCTCAGTGCTAGCTCATTGATTAGCTTCTTGCGTATTGATTTCTTTGGTTCCTTTCTTCAAGTCTAGGCCAATCCGAGACATTACCATTCTATGGTCACTGCATCGTACCTTGTCAATCACTTCCACATTCTGCACGACGCCTGTGTGTGCACTCAGTGTAAAGAACACTAACAGTGCAACTGTGGTCATAAGAGAGGTTATAACCTTTTTGAAAGCAACTGGACTATATGCACGGCTATAAAATTTGTCTCAGCTAGAAAGAATTCTACATACTCACCTTTCTATCTCTCCATCGTCATCCATTAGTCTTTATCCTCCCATTTCCCTTCCCCCAGTGTAGAGTAGCAGGCTAGAGCAAGCTATCGCTCAGCCGACCTCTCTGCCTTTATGTAAATAATCTCTCTCTCTTTCTCTCTCTCTCTTATTTTCGCCATTAGGGCTCCTTCATGTCCATCTTACGGTTGCAATCGTTTTCGGTAGAAGGTATTCAAGATCCGTAAATTCCAGCGTTCTGCGAATTCTAATAACGCCCCTCAGGCATTTCAAGTACCGATGCCATAATTCCCTACTGCCTGGTCTCCAGCCTGCTTTATCCTTACCTTGAGATTGAAGTCGCCCATCACTATAGTTCACTGTGTTTTTACCCTACTCATTGCTGATTTCACGTCTTCATAGAAGCTTTCAAATAATATGTCATGATGGCTGGACACTACTATACTATATACACGCGCAGGCCTGTACTACCTTCATTTTGTATATTTTGTCGAGTTTAATTGCAATACCTACCACCATTTCATGGATGCTATAATGCTTCCCTGAGTTACCAGCTATATTTCTGTGGATAACGAACCCCGCCGCCAGTTCTCTTGTGTGAACCAAGCCACGACAGCAAAGGACGGGCCTTTTCTGTAGCACTGTATAGGCCTCATCTGTTTGTAAACCTCAATGAGCTCTATTACATTCCATTTAACAACCTCTAGTTCCTCGAACAGCTAGACTTGCCTTACTGCATAAGGTTCTATCGTTAAAACGTTGCCAAGTTCAGGTTCCAATGGCGACCTGTCCTGACACAGAGGTTCTTAACCCCTTCTGCTGCGTCGTAGATCTGGCCACCGCCGTGGTCATTTGCTTCACAGACGCCGGGACCTGAGCGCTGAGGGTTGATTGGCGTGTCCAGGTGGGAGGTAGTGGCGAAATGCTGCACCAGGGTGGCCAGTTCTTGTATGAGAGAGTGCGTTACCGGCTCTGGTCACCGGTGATGCCCCACCCAAGGCCTCTCAATGCAATTCCATAATAACGCAGATATTGTCACGGGTATAGAAAGGTACCTCAGGCATGGGTTCAGAAATGACGCAGAAGGAACGACGATGTTGTTGTGGGGCTGTGTCTGAACTGCCCTCTTGTCCTGCATCCTTGCATACTGTGTGCAGTGTTAGCCCACCCAGCGTTCACCTATTAACTACTCCCCGTTACATATTTTTGGTGGAAGTGATGGGTAACGTTCCGACTCTGGATCTTTTTTTTTATCCGGAGGGGAATTGCGTGGCACCGGTATTCGAACCGCGGACGTCTTGCACGCGAGACTGATAGTCTAACCACATCGCCATCGCTCACTACCGGTTTTTTTTTTAATCGGGAACTTCGATTCAGAAGTACAGCATCCGCTGTGCCCAAACCAATCGGTTGGTCCGTGAGTCGATCAATGTCGTACGCAATGTGGCGCAATTTCAGTCACCGAATAGATTCAGTTTTGTTTTGGGCATATTCTAGTTCCCATGTCACCGAACGTAATTGCGTATCAAACTATTGTCACTTATCGCAGAGAGA